TACATACATCACATATGGTTTCCCAACATATAGGAGATAACTTATATATAATATAATGTCACGTTTCGGATGATTCTTGTTGAACTGTCGTCATATATTATATAAATCGGGATGGCATACTGGCATGGACATTTTCCAGCCTCCTTCGGAACTGTTTAGATTCTACTTATACGCATATAACTATACATACTAGCTATACATTTAAGTATAATGTACATGGTCGACCATAGTTAAATAGTTTATCTAACATTTAGTTACAAATAGATCGATCAATATTTTTTTTATTGATGATACATATTTCCGATCAATGATCTACTTACGCATTGTTTTACATTTTTACTTAATTTTATCAGGACCTTATTGGGTAGTTTCGGACCTTAGAAAAATATTTATCTATCGGCCTACAATTTGCTATATAGTAGCCCATATTAGACAAATTTTAATATTAATAAATACTAATGACCTTATCGAATTTGTTGACTGTATAGCTGTCATTAAAATCGTATGTGGCATTGCAGCCAAATTATCATACCAGTCATACCAGTCTAAAATGTTAGAGGCCCTTCGAGATTTTCTCGAATGCTTGAATGGCCTATCCGGCCTAAATGCTATTAATATAATAACTAACAATTTTAGTACAATAATACTGTGTTCAACACAGTGGTGGATTTGAGGGGGGGCGACGTGGCGATTACCCCTCCATAGGAAATTTTTTTACTTAGACTATGATAAAAAGAATATGATATAAGTCATAGCTATAACATTAAACTTATGAATAAATGATACAAAAAAGGTATTTTTTTTTAATATGAAAATCGGAAATGTGTATTCGGTTACGTCTTTGTTATTACTTATTACCTATCAATCTATGATACCAATTCGCCCCCTCCTCAAATGATCTTCAGATCCGCTACTGATTCAACAACCGTATTATAAACGCGTTTGGCGTGTAAACTAAAAAAAAACTAATTTTATGATATTATCGTTATTCATGTTCTCATATAGGTAGGTAGCACGGTTATCTAGATGTGTGTAGATAACCGTGGTAGGTAGTAAGTATAGCTGGCAACTTTAGGTATACTACGTAAATTTAACGCGAGTTAATTTACCTTAGCGTCGATGGTCGATGGAGTCGATGAACTTTTACGTCTTTATCTAGTCTAGTATTACATACGAATAAATATATCACAACAAAACCCTTCGTAAACTAAGTGTAAAAATGGCTAAGGAAAAAAAAAATATTTGATCTTTAAGCACTATAAATATGTGATATTATGAATAAATGCTAACTACCTAAAATAACTACCTATATTGAATTTAAGTAARCTTTTAGTTCGGCTGTAGCGTCCATCATGAACACACGTACGCCGAATCGTACATACTATACACTCCGTTATCGCTGTATGCGCTCATTAGTAATTTATTACGGTCATTATTAACTATCAGTCCCAATTATATAACATCAGTGGCGTAATTACGGGGGTGCACGATTGTGCACTTGCATCCCCTGGTTTGCAGGTACAAAGATATGCTTTTGCACCTACAGAATATGCTGAACTTTATACCAATTAAAATACAATATCAACTATATTTCATTGATTTGTTGAATTTTTTTTAAACTTATTTAAAAATTTCGTTATCACTTTAATTAATTTCATATACATATCATATTTTTATATGTATATAATGTATCATAGTACAGAATACAGATACAGTACATATTATAGTATTTAAAATACAGGTACCTACAGATTTTGATATTTGTTTATCTTATATTGTTATCAAATATAAAAAGATACCTATAGGCTATAGTACACGCGAGCAATRCAATTAACTTTAAATATGAGTAATATGACTCAATTTGTCATTACGGTTATTAGACCGATAAAAATTTTGCACCCGCTAAAATTTAATGAAATTACGCCAATGTATAACATTATAATAACAATTTATGATGAGCAACGTACATAAAGCCGGTTCCGCTTCACCGCGTACACCAAAACCCACAAAACGAAATTTGTCAACTTCTTCAATTTCGCCAAGTCAAAACGACAAAAAAACCAAAATCTACGTTTCACCAAATCGCTTCGACCTACTCTCCACTGATGACACCAATGACATAGTGCCCACTATGCCCTCAACCAACCTCAGGGATGTTACTGCAGTGAATCTGCCTCACACTGAACAAGACATGGGACCTTCAGCTCCACCTATCCACATCAAGAATATAACCGACTACTCTGCCTTCAATACGGTACTAACTAATATCACCAACTCAAATGGCTTTACCTGTAGATCAACACCATCATACCTGATCGTGCAACCTACAGGTCGCCAAAACTTCAATAAAATCATAGACCACTTGCATGAAACTAACGCTAGTTTCCATTCATACACCCCACGTAACCTTCGGACTTACAGGGTCGTAATCAGAAACCTGAATTTTTCCACCTTAAGTAATGACATTGTCAGTGCCTTGGCTGAGCTGGGACACTCAGCCAAACACATAYACAACGTCAAAAATAAAAATAAATGTCCTCTACCTTTATTTTTTGTGGATATTTTAACAAAAGACAATAACAAAGACATCTTCGACATCAAGTTTCTACTCAATAGTCAATACTAAGGTATTGATTGAGAAACCACACAAAAAAAGATGTGGCCCACCACAATGCCAGAACTGTCAATCCTATGGACACACGCGAAATAACTGTTGCCACCAACCTAAATGCGTAAAATGTGGCGAAAACCATCATACGAACGAGTGTTCCAAAGACCGATATAGTCCCGCCAAATGTGCACTTTGCACTAAGGAACATACTGCTAACTTTAAAGGATGCCCAGTTTACAAAGCTGCTTACAAAAAAACCGTCCACCCTGTCAAGGGCTCTGATTCCAACCCCTACCAAAATACCAAATCTTACGCTGAAGCTACCAAAAATTATCAAAATTCACACACGGAACTCAAAATCACCGACACTCTCTCAAGTTTTATATCAAATTTAAACTCACTAATTAGTCCCCTTATCTCCCTTCTTTCATCATTCTTAAATGCACTTACAGCTAATAGCACTATTCCATAACCTTATCCACAWTAAAATTAATTAATTAACATAATATCTTATCTCTATTCCTTTTCACATTGTATTACTTAAAAATATCTATACCTATTATATAATCAACTAACACAACATTTTTTTTTTTTTTTTATGGTTAGGGCTTCGACAACTGAGGTCATTAGCCTGGGGAACTGTAGGGGAAGGTACTGTAAGGTTTTAACTCGTGGGTTTTTTTGGCAGAATTTTGAATGGGCRCCCGTGGGTTTMTGCCATGCCCGGTTGGGRGCCRGCGGCCTCTCTCTCCAGACATCGCGAAATGCCCAAAGAGCGATGCCGCCTGTGACCGAGATTCAAACCGACACCTTAGTCCGCTCRGCCACTCCACCCCCCAACACAACATTATATTATGTAAAATTAAACAATTGTAAACTTGTAATAGCATATAATATGCTGAAACATTTTAATATATTAAATAAAAAAAAAAAAAGTAAACTTATTTTGTTTCAATAATTTATATACTTGGCGAGGAATTATATAGAATATGTAGTATATAAATATAAATATTTTCAAAACAATAATAAGTTATATTTTAATATAATGTATTATAACAGTCCTTCACCATTTAATTATTTTGTTCATCACACTTTGTTTCTTTTAAGAAATAATTCCTCACCAAGTAAATAAAATTATTGAAACCAAATAAGTTTACTTAAATTCAATATACTTCGTATTTATTCATGATATCATATCTTTATAGTGCTTAAGATCTAATATTTATTTTTTACTTAGCCATTTTTACACAAGTAACTGCAATAATACAATAATAAACGTGTTTTATGTAGGCGAAACGCTATCGAATAAAATAAATGCCAACTTATCAAATAAGTCTTATTTAGTGGATAATATTTGAGAAGTATTAAAACATAGTTTAGTTATATTAATATTAGTCTGTACTCAGTGGCGTGGCGATGGGGGTAATCGAGAGGCGGCTACCTCTCAGTTTTTTTTGGTGGGTGATGGGTGACACTGGTTGAATGGGAAATAATTTGAATTCATAATAACGAATTTAGGAAAATAACACATAAAATGATATTTTAATATTGTCTAATATTTATATAAACGAAAGCTAGTATCCAGTAGGCAGTGGTTACTAACCATTAGTTGGTAATAATACCTACCTAATAAGTACAATTGTATGTGAAAAGCAATCAACCCCCCTCCCCACAACTCTATTTCCAATTGAGAGACAAAATTATGGTTGATGGGTGGGTGGTTATCGCAAAATATACTGCCTCTGAAAATATTCGAGTTCGCCACGCCACTGTCTGTACTTAGTGAAATAATAATTATTAAAAGTAGGTATATGTATTAGCAACACTGATATCTGCGATGATGTGTTAATATATGCCATAAGTCCTGAATCAGCCAACAAGAACTACAATAATTGTTATAATTTGTTAATAATTTGTTAAAATTATTTTAATTGTATTAATTTTTAAGAGGACGTTATACCCGGTTGTTTTGTCTTAGTTAAGTTTTTGGCATAAATAAACAAAAATGACTGATTGGAAAACGGATGAATACAAATAATTGTATGTATATTATTTAATATAAAATTAAACCATATTTAATTAATTTATAGTGCTGATGTAGGTAAATTATAATTTAAGTGTATTGGAAATTTGTTGTACAATATTGGTATGGCTTTAAAATTGTCAAGTGTTTTTAGTTAACTTATGTTCATAAAGTACTGAATGCGACTATTCTATTAATAACTAATTATTAATAGATAATTATTAAAAAACAATGCGTTTATTATTAGAGTTAATTATTATTGTAATTATTTTCGTATTCTTAAGTATCTACGTATATTTGTATATTATATAAAAACTAATTTATTTAAAATAAAATWATAGTTTAAGTTTTTATGCTTAATATTACCTGAATTCGTTTTATTCGGAGATTTGGCACTGAACGTCAAGATAAGATAAGTGAGCAATAAACACGTTTAATTAATGTACGTCTACGCTTGTGAAGTGCATGTATAAAAATGTCATCATCGAACTTACTTATTAGAATATTTAGTTAAATTCAAAACAAATTATGTYAGTATAGATTCTATTAAATACATTTTTAATCGTAATAATATAAGTGTTGCTAATTTTTAATAAATTATTTCGATTTTCTAAGATGCTAATTGAAAATTTGAATGTTTTTCTTAAAAGATAATATTAAATTATAGTCATCTTCGTCTAGACATAATTTTAAATAATTAAAATTGCTAGGTTATTTATTAAGACAATAATATTATAGTCGTTTATCGACTATCGATCCGGTATAAACTGCAGGTATAGGTAGTTTGTACTTTATAGTTAATAATAAATTATTACAGAATGTATTAATGATAAACTATAGACACTCATGGTCAATGATTCAGCTAAAAGAAGAATTAGTTTAACCATTGATTTTATACTATATATAGTATATTATAAAATCAATGGTTAAACAAAACTTCCACTTTTCTTTCCTCCAAGTCATCCATAGGCCGTAGCGATAGCACCGTCACAGTAAACAGTTCACATATTGTAAGATATAAGTACATAATCTATTCAACTAGATAGGTAAGTCATTATGTGGCGTCATCATAATATTAGTATAGTTCATTGTACATTTTTTGCCCATACAAAGATAAACACAAATGCTCTTGGCTCATAGTTTATTTTTTTGGAACAATGCAAATAATGATAACTAGATAAGTAGATGGTAAGAAAAACAGATTCACAAGACTTATTTCAAAATAATTAAGGCTATAGATAATTAATATACATAAGTATATTAATCAACATTTTTCATTTTTTGATTGAATGTATGAATATTGAATAAATTAAAAATACTTCATTTCATAAAACAGCTTTAATGTCTTTCATAATTATTTATCACATTGACATTGTTGCCAGTGTACTCTTTAGATACCTAAAAGGCTAAATGAAATTAAAATTGTTGAAATTGTGTATTTAATAATATTATTAGATATTAATATCTAATATTAAGCTCACAAACTGCATAATAGTTTTTATAAGTATTTAATATTTATCATAAAAGGTTTTATATTTATTCAACAATTTCGATTCCAGTATCCATATAATATATTTTATATTAAGAGTACACTACACACATATTAAATTTGTTGTCTACGTGCTACATCTTACAAGTGCGTAACATAGCAAATTTACGCTCAGCAGATCACGTTTAGTTCCATTAGTTTAAAAATTAGAATAAATTTACCTATTTTGAAACTTGATGTTAAGAACATTATCTGTGTTTGTATGTGGATTTTTTACGATAACTTAGTTTTGAAGTGAGTTATGAGCATTTTTAATTTATGGTATTTTATTTACGCATTACTTGCTACAAAATTGAATTACATTAAAAACCCACACACGAGACACAAATACAGATAATTTTCTTAATACAAATAGTTTCATAATAGGTCAATTTACTCTAATTTCTAAACTAACGGAGCTAAACGTGATCTGCTGCACGTACAATTTTTTATGTTTTGCATTTGTAAGACGGAGACAACAAATGGTTATGTAGCGTTCTATTAATCATTGAAAAATAAAAATAACTATATATTACTTCTATAGTACTATCACTTTTATACTTGAATACAATTTACAAGTATTTAAAAAAAAATTATAATTAGACACAATTTATTATTGACATAACAAAATTTGATAACTTATATGTTTATAAAATAATAATAATCGTAATAATAATACATTTAATTGTTAATTAATATATTTATTTAAATACATTTTTATTTTATTTTCTGTATTATAATAATATTCTAGGCTTATCTATAAATCTCACACTACGTGATATAAATATATATAATACCAAATTCACATAATTGAATATACTAGCATTACTAGCCATGAAATATAGTCTTTACTCTTTTGAAAGAACATAATATAAAAATACCTCTACATTAAACTATAATATAGAAGTATTTTCATTCTTATGAATTTAAGCTTATAGTATTGATGTAAATTTCATCGTACCATCAAAAAATCCCAGAACAAAATTCATTATAGATTTTTCTGTAATATGAATTCCGTATTCCATTACGGAAATTCTTGCCATTGGTATATCTATTAGGGTCAACAATGGAGCTGTGTCATCAGTTAATCTCGTAAACTGTCTTAAAGTATCTGATGTGCAGTCCTAATGTAATTAAATATGATTATAAATATTAAAATTAATTTATTATATCAGTATATATTATTATTATTAATTATTATATTATACTCGTGCATGTAATATTAATTTATTACAATAAATTGTACGTACGTCAGGAGCTATAAAGAATAAGAGATCATATAATGCACTTGACTGGGTCTTTGCAACTTGTTGTGCTACAGGCAACAAAACACCTTCAGCCAACTCTAATTCTTCTTCTTGGTCTCCTTCAATGAATAAAACAACAGCTGGGTAACTTTGAAGTTTTGGTAGTAGTCTTGAAGAAAGTGAATATACAAATCGTCTTCTCCATGGGAAATACTGTTATTAATAAAAATTTAAATTTGTTAACGTGGATTCAGTAAAAATAGAAAAATATCTTACCAATCCATCAGGATCTTCCGTGATTTCCGCACGACCATTTTCAGTGATGATATTTCCATTGCTATCAATTAATACTAGATAAGGAATACCACGAACATTAAAACATTCAGTTAAGTCTTGTCGTAAAGTAGTATTTGAATATGGAACAGAAGGCCAAGGCATTGATGACGCATGAGAATTATAAGACTGTTCACTTCTGAAAAAAGTATGTTATATTGTTTTTAGTTATCAAATTTTGTTGTAGATTAAATTTTAAGAAAATCTTATCTTAATTGGTTGTGTAATTGACTATGTAACTCAACATTTTAATAAGTGTTATTATACATTTCTATTAAAACTAAGTATTTTCAATTATATCTAAATTAAAAAAGTGGGCAAGTAGGTAACTCCTCTGTACAGTATATTATGTATCGAGTGCACTTCCCTGTTGAATAAGTATTTTGGTACCTAACTATAATAGATGTGTTAAATTTGATCTCGATATTTAACTAATACCTACCTATCATTGTATACGAAAAACAAAAATTTGAGCGAAGCTGGTTTAACTTTTTAGTAACCATGGTTACCATAGTTATTTTTTACTAGACTATTTTTAATTTATCTAAGTAGAAACTACATCAAATCTGCTACCATAACCTCCATTGGAGTTGATGATCGGAGAATTTTTCTGCTAAATAAATGTCCTTACACAAAAAATAAATTAAATAAAAGATAAAAACATACATCAATGTAAAATCAATGAAAATTGAACATAATTATATGTATAATAATATTCTTTGTTTCCTCAAAATGATCAAATTATAGTATTTAAAAATATAAAAATAAAAATATAATTATATTTTCAAACGTTTTATATTATTTTGTGTCTTTATGATACATAGGTCTATAGGCATACTTATTATAGGTTACATATTATTATAGAGTATAGATTATAGCTACAATGGTGATAATAACAGTGGTACACTGGTAATACATACTAAATGTCTAAATGTATTCTATATTTATAAGAGGGCGCTAAAACGTTACACTCATAGGTACGTAAAATGCTAATAACTCGTTTTAAAATTGAAATATAAAAAAAAATTGTAATATTCAATGTATAATATTCTAAATTTTTACTTCTAAATTTTATAATAGATTAGTTCACTCTATAATATCAAACATAACAGAGTTATATAGATTATTTAGAGCATACAATTTTCTATGTTATGCATTTATAAGACGAAAACAACGCACGCGATCACGCTTGTTTAGCGTCATCTTAACTTATTTAATAATATAATCAAAATTCTGTTTAAAATACAATACCTGTCAGAACTGACAAAAATAATCTCGAACTGGATTCTTTTTCTTATACTATCGTAAGCATGAATGAGTTGTGGAATAAATGCTTTGCATGGTGGACACTATAATTACAACAGTTAATGAGTTCTATAAATTAATCTGTTACACTTAATCGTAATAAATACCCAATGCGCAGAAAAATATAAACCATATATCGTTTCATTGGATTCGTTTGAGGAGAGTTTTAAAGCTTCTTGACAAATTTTTTCCATCCATAAGTTTGTCCATGGAAAACTTTTTCCACTACATGACAAAAGTTTAAGACCATTTCGAGTATGAACTTTCTCCAAATAGCTATCATTCAGAATTAACAAAGTTTCTGCATTCCCAACACAATATTTGTGTCTCAAACGAATCTAAAAACATTTAAATAGATTTAATATCAAAAATAGTATACATGTTATATATATATAGGTACACAATATTGTTTTAAAATTTAATAACATCATTTTTTTTTTCAGATTCTATTATTCCGAACAAAGCTTATAACTTATCTTACCTAAAATTTGCAAAATATACAACTGATAACTATTTTGTTTAAAAGTAAGTTGCTACCTTTTTTATTTTTTATTATTAATTTATGTTTCCAAGAGTCAGGGGAATAGGATAGTCTGAGCCAGGGCCGTGTTAAGAGGGAGCTACAGGGTACTATTGCCCCGGGCGACTGAATAGGAGAGGGTGGCTAATTTTTTTGTAATTTAAATTTGTATTTTGNTAAATCCAAAGTATGACCAAACTTGAGATCGATTTTTAAACAAATGATTCTTATGATATATAAATATTGATTTGGTTTGGAGTTTTGGTTCATTTTGTTAGTTCGAAGGTTTTTTTTTGCCCCTTGGTGTCAAATTCCTAAATACGGCCCTGGTGTCTGAATATAAAGTTGTATAGTTGTGTTAGAAACAATATTGCTATTTTGGGTAGTTATTGAATCGTCGTTTAGAGTAGAATGACTGGAGAGTTATGAGAGGAGAGATCTAGAGAGTTAGTTATGTTGTAGTTGATATGATTTGTGAGTATTGTGACGAAAAAATCAAAGATGTCTGGGTATCT